TCCAGGGACACCACGACAAGAGGAGGAAGGACACTGGCCCAGAAGCTGCCGCTGTGCTGACTTGCAGCCTGGTCTGAAGGGCTCGTGCTTCCCCCACCCCTGCCCACACAGCCACAGAGGCTTCCCAGCAGGAGAGAGGGGTTCAGTTCACATCCCACCAGGACAGGAAAGGACACAAACACCAGCCTTCCCACTCAGCGCCAGCCAGGAGGACGCTGTGCTTGGACTCAACTGATGCCTCCCACCTCCAGTGCAGCTTAAGCTCAGTAGGAGAAGCTAAAAGGAGGATAAAAGCTGTAACTGCAGTTAGTTCCCTGAATTAATCATAACCCCAGCACACGCCATCTCCCCGGAGCAGCAGGATGTCAGCAAAGGCTGTTCTGTCCACTTCCACGCCGGAGAGCTCTCCGCAAGCCCTCTCCTGCCAGCCACCCCCATTTGGCTCAGCAAGATGTCAGGAAAGTTCACCCAGCATGAAACTATTCAGGTACTGATGCTGCCTGGCATTTGATGGAAGTTTTAAACTAAAATTGGCATTTCTGAGCAGGCCTTGCTGGCAATTGTCCTTTTCCAAGGCAAATTCAATGCGCGTGTGACTCAGGCAGCGCAGGAGCTTGCTGCTCAGCCTCGATTGCTTTGCAGCCAGTTTTAATACTGCTGGTTTTAATACTGCAGCCAGTTTTAATAGAGCTAGACTGGAAAATTTTACTCCTTGCTGATGAGCTCTTTGGTTTCGATACCAACCACAAGCCTCAAGAGGGTTCGCTGGCAATACCCATCTGAAGGCATCTGGCTGCAGTGAACCGCAAAGCCAAACGAAAAATAGTCTGGCCCCTCCGTGAAGTACTAAGCTGATGGCAAACCTGGTTCAAAAGATTCTCTTTTGCTTGGTTTCTTTCCACAGGAGGTATTATGTCTTCCTGCTCCTCTCCCTGCCAGAGACCACTGTGAAATTTCAGGGCAACAGGCCCCAGTATGCCACCTGAGACGGTGGATTTAGCCAGAGAGCCTTCTCTCCCATGTCAGGGAGGGTATCCATTTGGGAGAGGAGGAGAAACCTGAGAGAAGAGCAGCTCTTCTCTACCACCAGCCCGTCTTCAGCGTTACCTAGTGAGGCTCTGGACAACTTGACAACATGCTGTGCCACGAGGGAGAACGGAGGAGATGGAAATGCTATTAATATTTCTTCTCCTGAAAATGCTGAACCAACTGTGTGCCGAGTGAAGACAAACGGAGCAACATTCCTTCTGGCTCTGCGGCTGCTTCCAGTGCTTTTCACGCAGCCGCCAGCTGGTGCGGCTGTGCAAGGGGGCTGGATCTGTTGCCATTCCTCAAAGCTGACTGATTTACCCCCTCCTGCACCCCTACCCAGCGCTCCTGGAGTCAGACGTGGCCCAGGCTGAAATGATTCCTGCCTGAGCTCTCCCTGAAGACACCGGCCAGCCAGTGCTGGAGGCCAGCAGAAACTCAGCAAGACACCCACCTGCAGCAGGTCACGAAATTTGTTGGAGACTGCAGCCATGTCGGAGAGGCAGCTGTCAATCTTGGCCTGCGCTTGCTCACCCCCGAAGCCTTGGCTAAGCAGTTTGCTGCAGTCACTCTGCGGGGAAGAGATCCACAAGCAAGTTGCAAATTAATAACCTGGGCAGTCTCTATCCCTTCACGTTGGTGAGGTCTGGCTGCCCACCAACAAGCTTGCAGGCTAGCACAGACATCAAATTCTTGTTCCTGTGAAGGCAGAGGCTGCTGGCTCCAGCTGAGGAGAGGACAGCAGGAAAGGAAGCCAGGGGCTATCATCTAACCCAGCACCAGAGAACCACGACCTCTCCATGATGCACATGTTACTCCACTGGCTCCCAGCCAGTGACAGGTTGGTCAAGCTGGAGGAACTGGTATTTCCAGCTGCTGCTATCAGACGGAGATTGCCAGCTCAAAACTGCTTTCCTAAGGCTGGAGAGCAAAGACCTCAAGAAGTTGGGCATAGTGAAGTTTAGATGGTTTACTTGACCCCTCCAAGGGAGGATATTACAACTTTGATTAAGGAGAAAACAGTAAAGAATCCAGACCGCACCTCCAAAGTCTTCTTTAGAGTCATGATGTTCTCGCTGCAGACTTCCACATTGTTTAAGGTCACCTGGAAAAAAACAACAAAACAAACCTAAGTAGAATTGACTGGAATTTCCCAGCACCTCAGCCCCAAGTCCATAGGTTAACTCCATGCCCTGGTCACAGCACAGGCTGAAATGCAAATATTTAAGGTGCTTCCGTGTGATCAAAGCACTGCAGATTCACAGAACTGCGTGAAGCTGAACTACAGTAACTGTGTGTGTGCTGAACCTGCAGCTAGTACAAAGCTTGAGATTGTCTGCTCCACTTCTCCTCATCATTCTGTCCATGATGCTGCAGAAAAGCCCCACTTGTGGGTGACTGGTGAAGGACAGGATGTACCTGTGACAGTGTCGTGAAGAACAACAGACCAGGAGTGGCTGGATGTGTCCAGGGGAGGCAGGAAGGCATTTGTATCTAGGCAGGAGGAATCAGCATCCCTCCTGCCAGATGAGTAGCTGTTCTTCACCAAACAGACTTCTCTACCTGCCCAAGCTGAACTAAACGTCAGTCTAAGGCTGGGGCTTGTGCAGACAGGGAAATGAGGGAAGCTGACAGGAGAATGAGGAATTCCATTGGGAGAACTGACATTTTAAGCACTTTGCTTCAAGAAATGCAGAAACCTGTAACCAAGAATTTAATGAAAGAGTTCAGTCCCTCCTGCTCCCTTTGTTGCCTTCTCTCCTTGTACAGTGGAAGTCTCAAGGAGCCTCTTCAGCACTGGGTGTTCTGAGCAACTTACAGAGAGGGAGAGAAGTCAGGGTGGGCCAGCCCCTCTCCTGTGCTCTCTGTGCACAGGTTGCCTACCCTGCTCCAATGGAGACTCTCTGAGCTGATAAGTGAGAATGAAGCAGCCCTGAGCTTGGGCCAGGAAACTTTTTCACCAAGAGGAAGGTGTGGATGAGATGCTCTCCCACCACCTTTGTGTGCAGAGCTCATGAAGAACAGGATTGATGGACACCTCAAAAGAGCACAGACTCTTCTTCCCCAGCCTGGAGGGAATCATCATGGCAGTAGCCTAAGAGGCAGCCACAGGATCATACTTGCACAGGCCTGGTGTGGAAGCCCTACAAACATGAGGTGAGGCAGAAGGGTTTACCAGACATTCAAAGTCAGGCCACCCACCATGCCTGAACAGGTTTCCAGGTTCTCTGAACATGTGCTAGTTGCACCAGTCCTGTTCCCAAGAGCTCCCCATTGTCTATCCCCTCACCCCAACTCATTCTACAACACCAGAACAGCCACCAAACCCACCAGAAAGGACTGCTTGGCCTCGTCGGTGCTTTCAATGCCTTTGGTGTCGAACTTGCCCTGCTGCAGGCTGCTGTGCATGATGTTCACAGCACTGGTCACCCCTCTCTGGAAGTCCTGGAAGGTCGTGGCTGGAAAGCCCTGCTTCAGCTTGTTGTACAGAACCTCCCTATGGGGTAAGGAGAACATACCAGGGCTTAGAGCAAAGACTGCAAGAGTTGTGCTCTGTGACAGCACTCTGGCTGAGCTGTGACCTGAACAAGGTAAGCGGGACTTCACAGGGACTGTGAAGGGCTGGCAAATATCTCCTGACAGCATCTAAAGGACACGAGGCTGAAAGAAAAACACAACCACCCAGTTTCGGAGCTTTCCCAAAGATCCTGCCTGCAGCTGTCTGCTGTCTTCAGTCACAGTTCCCCACTCCCACGTTGGGATGAAAAACAGGAGCAGGACAATTTCTGCAGGCTCACCCCAAGCTCAAGTTACTAAGCCATCTCACAGCTAACCCAGAGAACAGTTGGGGGTGGCCGTGTAGCATCAAGCAGGGAAGCACTCCAACGCTACATGGTGACTCAGTCTCATGGGGATTTTGGGCCACGAGGTTCCTTTTTCTGTTTGTCCTACAAGTAACCACCACTTCTGTGAGAAAAATATGCCCAACTCCAGCTTCCCTCACCACACCTGACACTGCTTCCTCCAGCATCTTCCATGGAGATAACAAACTAGAGGTTCAAAGGCCAAGAAGGCAAGGAAGACCATCTGAGAGCAAACACTGTTTGCAGAACGCGAGGCAGAGGCAAGTTACAACGAACCTAGTGTATTTTCATTACCTGAAGTCAGACTCCAGCTCGGTGGTGGAGTGGTTGATCATGGCACAGAGACAGTCTATGCTGGAGCTGGACAGAGCACGCCCGATGCACTTCTTCACTATATAAAACACATCATCCACCATGCTGGAGGTGAGCTGGCCCTTCTCATAGCTGTCCATGGCAACAGCCTGCAAAGAAAGCTGTCTCAGTGCCCTGAGCTCAACGAGCGAAGGTGCCTTCTCAGAGCAGTGCTGTGAGACCAAACTGCCAGCCTGCCTGTGCCACCCTGAGCTGAACTGTACCATGTGTGGGCTGGCACCACTCATCCTAGTTTTCAGTAGCCCATAGACTTGGAAGATCTGGCTCTGGAAGATACTCAGGGGTATGTTTGGAGTCAAAGTTCAGAAACAACCAATTGCTTTTCAAGGCCAAGGGAAACAAAAAACCTTCCCAACAACTGCAGACCTGCCATGTAACTCATCTCCCTCCCTAGGAACGCTCTACAGAGGACTGTGGAGCACATGCAGAGGTCTCAAGTCACTGGCAGAGAGTGCGGGCTACTGCAAGCAGCAGTCTGAGTCCTACCTTGTTGACAGTCTCCCTCATGAAGTATTCCTCCATGGTGATGTAGTAGCCAATGAGCTCTTGCATGGTGCGGCTCAGCAAACAGTTGTTGAGGAGCTTGTCCAGGTATTTTTGATGCTCTACAGAAAACAAAAGAGAACCATCAGCGGGGACCAAGTGCTAGAAAGCAGTCCCACCTACTCCACTTGCTGCCTGTCTCATGGGCACCCAACAGACACACACCTGGAATAAATCACAGGCCTCAACTGTGGGGCTGAAATTGCTGAGCTGACTTTTGCAGGTGACAAAAGCGATTTCCATGGAGTACCAAAACCCTGAGCCTGTTTTTCCTGTGGCCTCCACCTTTAGGATCTGTGCCTGCAGTGACCAAAGGGCCCTCCCTCTCTTTGGAGACCTTGTTTATTATGCTCTGCAGTCATTCCTAATGTTGGTTTCCCTGTTAGAGAGAACAAGCAGTGCTTAAAACAGGTTTCAAGAAGCCAGGCTACACAATCCTCTTCCACAGAGTACTCCCAAAGCATCTTTGCAGATCCTGTGTCACTCTGCTCTGCCACTAAAACTCAGATATATCTCCACTTCTGGCTGCAAGGAGCAGAGAGCCTGCAAGTAGCAGTATTCAAGGTGTTACCTTGCTTTACCTCCTCTGAGGCCATGGAGTCTCCCACCTCAAAATCGGCTATTATTCGTCTCTTGATGAACCTCAAGTAGAGCTCACTGCGGGCGTTCATCAGAGTGACTTCTGTTAAAATAGGGTCAAGTTCCCTGGAAAGAACATAGCAAGAATCAAGGTAGCAAGACTTCAAAAGGAGAGGCACTAATTTAACTCAGTTAAGTAGTGTGTTCTCTGTTCTCTTACTATTAGCTCAATACTGCCCCTTTCCATCTGTGCCGTCGAGTGGCAGAGCTCAGCAGAGTAACTGGTATGTGCAAAGAACACACACAGGATCAAAAAAAACCTTTACAGAGAAGCTGCTTTTTTCCCCATGGATGTGAGAACAACCACATTAAAATCACAGCAGAAAGGACTGCAAGACTCTAAGCAACCTGATATGACTTCGAAATTAGCCCTGTTTTGAGTGGGAGGTTGGACTAGAGACCTTCGGTGGTCCTTTCCTTTCCCAGCTATGATTCTGTGAGCCCTACGTGGCCAGTGCAAGAAATGCCTGGTCCCTGCCAGCTCCATATATGTGCTCTTGTGCACAGATTTATGCATTTCTCTGAAAATGAAGAAGAATCTGTTTGAGCTCAACAGCTCAGGAAATGTGAGATGAAAAAAAGCATGTGACAATGCAGAATGCAGTGTTCAGATCAGAGATTACTATGGAAAAAAAAAACCACTGTCACATCAGCAGCTTTTTTCATTAGTGTACACAAAAGAACTTTACAACTCCTGCTCAAAGCCTCACAACACACCAGTGGGACAAGGAACAATGCGTTATCTTTATTTTATGGTTGAAAAAGCAAAAGGTCAGGAAACCTGAGGTGCACACAGTTACTCAAAGCAAACAGTAAGTGGATCTTTGTACTTCTGCTGAAATAATGAGTCATGCAGGCTCACAGACAGATCTGGCTTGAGGAATCTAGGTTTTCTTTCGAGGCATGTTTAGAAGTCATGCAATGCCAGAAGGGATGGGTGCACTTTCAAACGGCCTTACTTTAGGGCTATGCAAACACTTAACATGAAAAGAAAAGGAGGGAGGTTGAAAGCACTTCGGTTCATTAGCAACAAACTGATGTTACAGAGTCGCTGCAGCAGCAGTACAGATTAAATAGGACTCAAAGATTCATTCCGGATTCTGTCACAAATTATCTGCCCAGGGAGCTGCTCCATTTTTTGGGCTCTGAGGACCATACTCTGATCATCAAAAGGTAGTGGGCACAGGCAATTAAAGTCTCAGTCCGTTGTGTGCAGTGATCCTGCCAGCCCTCAGCAACGTTTAGGGCCAAGGCTTAAAAGTAACGAGTAAGCAAAATAAAGCACCACCACAGAAGCTGCCTTTCTAAAAGGGCAGTGAAGGGCACCTAACAATTGGATTTTATGCTTTAGTAGTCACAAAGCCTCTGGAAGACCAGGAGAGTTATCTAAATGCTAAGTAGTGTTAAATAACAGCTCAAGAGTGGAAAGTTAGAGAGCAAAAGAGGTTTTGTTTGTACCTTGGTTCAATCTTCTCTGCAGAAGAACTTCTTATCATGCTATTCTGAACTTGCTGGAACTGCAATCACAAAGAAAATGGAGAGTCATTAAAGTCTTTGCTGATGATTTGGAGTTAAGAGCCGCTTCTCGTGCTGCAGCCTAAGGAGGAGCTTACTCAGGGAAGGCGATAGGAACACTTTGCGGGAAGCACTGCCAGAGAAGGGAACCACATCAATTCACCTCCTCCTCCAAGGCAGAGCTCAGCCTGCCAGGCAGGGCAGTGGCATAGGAACTCACGGGCACCAAAGTATGGCACCATCAGACAGTTACAGCAGCCCTGCATCTAACAGAGAAGCAGGAACGAGCCTGCGGGGAAGGTGTACTGAAACCTGCAGAGCAGAGAGTCCTGTGCCCAGGGTCCATTCATCGTGCTCACAGTGAATCCTTCTCTGCAAGAGATGGGGTAGCTACAGCCTGGACCCCTTCAGCCATCAGCAGAGTAAAGCAAGGCTTCTCTCAATACACAAGGTCAAACTTTGCCAGCTCTGTGGCAGTAGGAGCCCCACGGAGCCGGATGGAAGCTGCAGTTGGCTGCGTCAGGCAGCATCATGCCCTTCTTACCTGCCTGTGATAGTCCCTCTCTTTGATGAACTTGTCCACCACTTTTTCCACCTGCCGGTCACACTCCACTTGCAGGTGCTTGATGAGGGTGTACAGCCTCCCTGGCCCGTAGTAGGTCTCCACAATGGGCTGGTGGGTCTCCACAACACGAGCAATCCCTGCAGGGAAGAGGGGAAGCACAAGAAAGAGACTCAAGCAGGAGTTCCGATCCAGTCTGGACCCAGAGCAGAGCTACACGAGTCCACAGACAGGACCTAACAAGGGATCATTCGCTCCCCTGATGAACAGTTTAGACTGTCCAGCCACTCTCTAGTGCCTCACTGGAGGCCTGTCATTACCACCCGTCGCTCCATAGCGTCTTCTCTCTGCATATGACACCTTCCATCCTCTCTGCTGTTTATTGCAAGGCTGCAGTGCAAATCTCCTGGGGTAGAAGCCATCTCTCTTCCTAAAGAGAGCTCCTGCCATACGATGTGTGTCAGCTGCCCTCCTACCCAGCAAGACACAAGGTATGGAGGTACGAAGCTTCCACAAGACAAAGCTGCACAAGTTAAGCCTGGCAGGAGGTATAACTGCCATCCAAACCCAGTCTCAGCTTTCAGCAACTGCCAGGTTCTAGAGGAAGAGCAGTACTAGAAAAATCAGCCTAGGGAAAGCTCTGCTCTTATCTTTCACACAGATACCCAAGAGAGGAAGCATTAGTGAAGGCAAGGCCTCCTTGTAGAAAAAAATCTCGTCTCCAAGGAGGTATTTCTACAATATTGCTTGCTTCTCACAAACTCTCTATTCCAAGAGTTAGCAATGCTCCCCCTCTTTTGACACTACAGCCAAGAAAGCCTTGGTGGCTCTGGGGACCTTCAAGAACAGCAATGGTGCCAGGCTGGAAGAGTGGCTTGGCAGTGGCGCGGCCTGGAATTATAGCAGACTTAATAGAGAAGATGGTTAATCACCACGGGATCTCAATTATTGTCTTTGGCAACATTCCCACAGAGCCTTCATGTTCCCTTCTCTCCCTCTCCTCTCTGCTTTCAAGCTCCCGTGGTCCTCTTTGAAGTGCCAGGCCTGGAGACATCAACAGCTGCTCGGTCTCAAGGGATTGGATTTGTTTGTCTGGAGAGCTGCATGTCTGAAGAAACCTTCAGGGAATAGCCATTTGTTTTGAGGATGCAGAGAACAGGAAGAGTCTGATTCCTGGAGGAAGTCAACAAATCCTTTGCAAATCCACTTTGTGCCTGTGCAATCTGTACGTAGGAAAACTTGCTTATTTTAATGGCTTCTCCTGGCTGGGAAAAAGTCTCTTAGTTGTGTCCCTGTCCCTCTAGCGTGACATTCCCCTAGCTCAAAGGGGAAGGAGGTGTTTTGTGATCTACTGGAGCTAAAATTAAAAAGCAGTTAAACTGATGGACAATCTCACCAGGGACTATTTTCAATCCGTCAGCAAAGAGGAAAGGAAGATTACCTTCAAAGAGGAGCGTCAGGGTGTCCGCAAAGATGACAGCAGCTCGACGGTCACTCATGTCTGTCCCCATCACCAGCTGCAGGTTCTCTTCTGCTTTGTTGGCCACCTGCAGGACAACAGGACCAGTCAGCTAGTAACACTCAAAAGATATTCTTCATCCCACAGGATGGACCTCTGTCCTCTGCCCTGTAGAGCTTTTGCTGGCCTTCCCACTGCATGAGCTATTGCAGTTTTTTCTCCTTTAAACAGGGATCCTTTCCTCTCTCAGGGAAAACTCAAGGTTCAAGGACAGGCAGAAACTTGTTTCCAGGCTCCCTTGTATAAGCTTTAAGCAAGCACAAAGAGCAAGACACAGGAGAAGCCAGGCAGCCAGTGGGATCTGTGTTCAGACACCATCCCAGGGTGCAAAACACAGGGAGAGATGAACTAAGGCCAGCGCTGGTTTCTAAGATTAACAAGCCAGAGCCAAGATCTCCTTCCACAACATCTGTTGACAGAGACTGAGTTTTGCTTTCCCCTAGCAGATCAGACAGGTCACAGTGTGTTTCACAGAACCCGTTACCTGCTCGCAGAGGTACTCCGAGAACTTGCTCAGCCCCTCTTCATGTAAGCCTAGCAGAGGAAAGATCTTGAAGAACCGTTCCACCTGGGGCAGGTCTCCTTGCTTCATAGCTGTGTCGAATTTCTCTGTGACAATCGTCTTCAGGCGCTGCTCTGCTTCCTGCAGGAGCTTCAGGTTGGCATCAATTATGCCCCCTGGTCAAAAGGACAGAAAAGAAAGGGAAAAGTGACAGCACAATGTTAGTACTGTGTCAAGGGCTACTTTTTTTCCCCAGCAGAGGCACCCAACACTGTGAAGCCCTAGGGTGAGAAGGCAGAAGATGCACTGCAATTCCCCTACAGGCAAAGACAGGTATGCGTGTGATGTACACACAGCTAATGTCGTGGTCTTACAGGGAGGATGTGAACACATCAACTGGGACAGTTCTTTTAGGGATCAGGCAATTTTCTCCTTCATTTCCAGTTGCTCTGCTTGGTAGCAGACCATAACACTGCAACAGTTCTCCCTGACAGAACATTCTCCCTCACTTCTTTTATCCTGCACGTTTTGTCCTTCCCCTAGTCAGCACCCAAAATGCTATTAAAGCCGTGTGCCAGGAATTCTCCTTTCAATTAACTGCTTTCCTGCTTTGTCTATTGGGCTGAGGCTATCTGTCATGGGAAATCAAGCAGCCTAGAGTTATCTGACTGGAAAGGTGACTTAGCAGCTTCTCCTCACAAACAGTACTCACCTTCCTTGCCCTGACGACTGAGTTCAATCACTGATTTGTCCAGAGACAGATAGCGATGGATATGAGCTGCTGCTTGTTCATAGTCCTCATTTCGCAGGGCTGTTTGAACTCCATCCATGCAGAACTTCAGGTCAAGGATGTCATCAGCTCTCTGAATGGCCTGATAGAGTCGATTCTGCAAGAAAGGTGACCAGTAAGGCTTCCTGCTGTGGGCTGGACCAGGGA